AAGAGAAATTTGTAATCAAACTTAGGAATCATAATAAATATCACACCAAGAATCGATATGATGACCAAATTGATATTTTCAATCTCTTCCACTTTTTCAGTCAGAGCAGACAATATAGAGATCAGATTAGCCAGCTATCAAATTGATCAAGTTTGTTGCCCAATAAGTTTTTACCAACTTCATCCACGGACAAATTCACTGAAAGTGTTTATTGCTCGACCGTCGTGGTTTACAAAAAAGTGCTTTTTGAGATATCAGTGCATTTAGCCTCTGCTCATTCCAAAGATGCATTTACATACATAAGCTACTTGACAAAGTACTTCAATGCTGTGGACAACTCTACTAGAAGGGATATTTTAGCGTGTTTGTTACCGTGGGTTCAAACTGTTGAGTTGAAATATTTGAACGAAGAAGGCGTTGCCAGTAAAGATGCTGTGGATGTAAATGATGCTTCAGTCCCTTTTGCTTCTCCAGGAGAAATAGATACAGCTTCGCTTATGGTACTTAATAACTTGTTTGAGATCACAGTGAAATTCAGCAAGAAGATTTCCAACGAAGTTGAAGCGCTTTGGGTGGCTCTTGGAACATATCCAAGAAACTCTGATATAATTTTTGGTTATATCATTGGTACATGTTTGGAAAAAAGAAACCCCAGCTTTGTGTCTTACTCGAGACAAATTATAGCATACCTTGTCTTCTCAAAACCAGACCTGTCCTACATTGTTGATAAGTTGATAGCGAACTTGGAACCAAAGGCCATGGTGCCTCCTTCCGCAAAGCCAAAACCAGCCAATGTGATGGAGCTCAATGAAACGTTTCCATATTCCCGCCAACCTCAAAGATTTGCTCCCTTTGAACGGAAAAGAATCTGCGTTTTCCCTTGGACAGTTATCCATGGTGTTCTTGGTTGATTTGTTGAGATCAAACAGTGAGATAATCATGGAGCATCTTCCATTGCTTTTGCATGTTTCATTCTCTTTGCTTGACCATTATTTCACTCTCGTTCAGGAGCAAGCAGTTTCTTTGCTTATTCATTTAGTGCATTTGATAACACCTGGAAATCCAAAGTCGGCGAGGATCCTGGATCTTTTGAAACAAAAGGATCACCAGAAGAATCTCTGGGTCTATGACTATTTGAACAACGACAAGAATGGCGGGATGACCCCCGAAGAACATGGATTTATTGTCGCGCTATATTTCGCAAGTGATTGCTCCTTACGATCCTTGAATTTGCAAACTGATTGGAGCCGTGTTTTGTTTGAAGTGAGCAACAACGTGTGCTGTTCGCCATATTGCATGTCGTTCCTTCCAGGTATTCCGGTCGCTTTTATCCTTCTTAGATCAGAATATGCTCAAAGACATGTTGCATCGTCTTTCGAATACGATTGCAGACGAAGCGGTTGAAATCCAGGGATTTGCTATGCAAATTTTGATGACATTGAATGCAATCACCGCCGAGCTTGATTCTGAGAAATTGATTGATTTTCCACAATTGTTTTGGTCTGGTGTGGCGTGCCTCAGTACGGTTCACGAGCACGAGTTTATTGAGACAATTTCCACAATGTCCAAATTTGTTTCCAAGATTGACCTTGATGCTCCTGATACTATTTCATGTTTGATTGCAACGTTTCCTTCTAAATGGGAGGGAAAGTTCGAAGGTTTACAAGAACTTGTCTTAGTCGGCTTAAGATCTGCTACAGCATGGGAACCAACTATCAAGTTTCTTGACAAATTAAACCGACTCAAGGATAGTGATATCATTGGATCGGGAGACTCTAGGTTGCTCACGTCTTTGATCGCCAACTTCCCTAGGTTTTTACATGCATTAGACCAGAAGAAAATCACTTTGGAGATCGAAGAGGCGTGTCTCCTAATTGGTAACATGGCCACAAACAATGGTAAGCCAGGAATAGCGAGAATTTTGAACTCTCTTGCAAAAAACAGATTCAGATCCAAAAAGGACTTTTTGGTGCAGACCATTTCCAGTATCAGATCCAGTTTCTTCCCCGAATACGAGTCACAGGCGCTCATTCTTTTGTTGAGCTTCCTTTCCAATAAACTTGGATGGATCAAATTAGAAACATTGGGCATCTTGGAAGTACGTTTTCCCTTACGTGAATTTGCATAGAGAAGAATTCATTGGTGTGGGAGCAGATTTAATCTCGCCACTCCTCCGTTTACTTTTGACAGAGTATGCTGAAACTCTCTTTGGAAGTCATTGAGGGAGGCGGGTGATGATCTTCAGGCTCTCAACTTTGATAAAGAACTTCTTTGAGAATGAGCATGGGCCCCCACATCCTATGAAGATAGGAGTACGAGAAAAACAGTTTCACTTTTTGGAATTCTGGGAAGATAGCGGGTGGGGCCATTCCTATGCCAGCAAATCCGGCCTTCGAACACAAGGAAATAATGGTGCTGGCTGGATTTTGCTACATGCGGGAGAGTCTCTGGTGGTGGAAC